CACCTTGCGTGGTGCCTAGCATGTGACAACTCTTCAATGACAGGGTGCTGAATGACACACTTGCACATTTTCAAGGTTGTTTTTGAATCCAACATCTATTTCACACTTATTTCCTAGAAGCCAGACCTTACCTCCACCCCTCCTTCTATTGGAAGCACTGTACAATTTTCTCCAAGATTTACTCTGAAAACCTGGTGGGGCTCTTTGCTGATAACAGCAAACGTGTGGGGGCTCCAGTCTGAGCTCCCAGGAATTTTTACCTCTCCCTTTCACTCACACCACGCCTTCAGCCATCTGTCAACTTCAGCTTAAGTGTTCCTATCTGACCCCCCACCCCCCCCAGATGTGGGTTTCCCATTCTACTCCTGGGAAGTGGTGATTCTCTGTATTTGCCTGTTGTTTTTTTTGTTTGTTTTTTTTCCAGTTTTCACAGTGGCAGTTTGTCCTGTGACTTCAATTTTCAGAGCTGTCAATTTTCAGTTTGCTCAACTTTTCTTGTTTGGAAGACAAATTAGGAAAGGGGTGGGTGGGCAGGGGGAATACAGAAAGAGAGAGAGAAAACGTGAGGGACAGTGAGGAAAGGCAGGGTAAAGCAAAGAAACAAAGAGGGTTGGGAGCCAGGACTTCCACTTCCCCATGGCCACGCTACACCTTCCACTTGGCCAGGGATTCAGCCAACTGGCAGCCAAGTTCCTGTTTCTGCCTGCAACATGGCAGTTTTCAGCTCTGATTGTTCATTAGAATCCCCAGGGGAGCTGCTACAACTCCTTGTACCCAGGTCTACCTTAATTAAAGCACCCTAGGGGATCTAATGTGTAGCTGGTGCAGAGAATCACCATCTCATTTTTCTAATTCACTGGCACCTTCTCTAAGCTTATTAGAAAAGCAGCTTAGGCCCTTCCCAGATCTGCTCAATCAGAATCTGAAGTTTAACAACATCCACAGCTGACTTCTGTGCACATGAAGGATTGGAAGCATTGACCAGATGGTCTTCCTATACCTCCAAATGCAGTTGTCCCCATGAAGCAGATGGCTCCCAAGGAAGTGCTATGTGAGCCAGCATCCTGTTGACTATAAGATGTCAATCAGTCAAAAGTGCCCCCAGGCCTGCAAAGCCGGGGTCCACTGTGATCTCCCACGGTAATGTGTCTCCCATGGAGAGAATTAGATCTAACCCAGAAAGGGTCTTGAAACACCAGTACTGGGATCATGAGCTTCAAAGTTCACAATAGAGTCAAAAATGCTATACTTGAACCACCACCAAGAGTGGCAGTTTGAAGCAGGCAAACAAGAATTAAAGCAAGAGGTCAAGTGGAATGAATATCAGGGTTAAGGAAGTGGAAGGAAAACAGGAGATCTAGCCAGGTTGGGAGAAAGAGGAGCATGACAGTGAGGCCTAGTGGACTTGGACAGGAATGTCTCAGGCAGAGAGAAGTACAACAGGTGGTCCTAAATACTGACTTCCCCAGAGTCACATGGATACAGTCCCTCAACCCTGGCTTACCATGTACCTCTGTAAGTTCTGGTTGCTTTCTTCCCTACAGATCTCAGTACTTTGTTGCTAAGGATAGGATGTTTTTGACCCTCTTTCCCACCTCCACCAAATGACCTCATTCCATTTCCGGCTCTGCTACTTACTATCTGGTGACCTTGGGCAAATTGGCTGAGCTCCTTGGGAAACTTCCTCATCTACAAAATAAGGATGGGGTTATCACCTCACAAGGGTGAATGCAGAAAGCATGTGAAACAGAGTGTAATGTCTGACACAGGTGTATTCATGTAGTATATATATACACACACACACATATATATTCACACTATATATATTCATATAAATATACATATATATGTTGTTTAATGTAATATGTATATCATATAACATAAAGAGCTAGGGCCCAATTTGTCTGACTTTTAAATTGAGGGATGTTTTCCCTTCTAAGTGACAAAAGCTAAATGAGAGTAAGAACATTTAAAAAGTAAAATAAAGCAAAACAATGTATTTTTGGATGCTGGTGCCAGGCATCACAGCATGTGACTAATCCTGGCTATGCAGGAGGCTGAGGCAGAAAGATCACAAGTTGGAGGCTAGCTTGGGCAAAATAGCGAGACCCCATTTTAAAACAAAACAAAATAAAGCAAAACAAATAAAAAACAACTGTGAACACAAAAAACATATCTGATGTACATTTGATCCATGTTTTGAAGCTGGACACACTGATATTAAAGTATTGTCATTTTTGTTAGGTATGATGATCTCATAGTGGTTATAATTCAGACTCCACCCTCTAGGTGATTCTGATACAGACTAAAGTTTGAAGGCCACTGTCCTAGGAAGTTCTATGTGAGCCAGCATCCTGTTGACTACATTGCATAAGTCAGGTATCAGGTTCAGCTGTAATAGAAACCTGCGATAAAAGTAGCTTAAAGTACATATCAAATTTTTTCTTCCATCACAAAGACTGGAGGTAGATAGTCTTGGATGGTTCAAAAGTCATATTTTTACTGTATCCCTGCCATAAAACTTCCATGCTTATGATTTTTAAATGACAGCTGCAATATCAGCTATTACAAATGTTCCAGGCATCAGGGAAAAGTCAAGGAGGTAAGGGAAAGCAAACCAGGTAAGCCACCTTCCATAGGCCTGCTCAGATGCCCAGTGACCTGCTTAAAACTCCTCTGCCACCCTTAGATGAAAAGGAGCTGGAATCTAACACTTGGTCATATCGTTGCTCAGAATAAAACTGGGAAGCTAGGAAGAATGGATACTAGAAGGATCTAGCAGCCTCTAGATTCTTCCTGGAATGAAGTCAATCATTAAAGTTAAACCTTGAAGAACATTATTCCAAAATAGCTCTTTATTAGCCAGGCATTAAAAATACTATCTTTGGTCTACTAGGTGAAAGTCTATATCCTTGCTTTAGGCAAAGGTCTTTGCTTACTTTGAGGTTCAGAATGGCTATTTATCAGAATAAATAAACACAAATTGTTTCACATAAGTAGAAGCTGTGGTTGATATACATCAACCAAGTATCCTATAGAGTTCTTAGAGAAGGTGATTTGTAATATATATGAAAATCAATAAATAAAAAGAAACATTTTCCTTGGGATTGTAGGAGATGCTGTCTGTTTAAAGCTGTTTATACCATTGTTATTTATGACAGCAAACAAACAAACAAATTACATAGTTTACAATCCTTTCCTACAATAAAGATAAGGCTGAGTGAATTATGGGATGATCATTACAGAGCCATAAAGAGCATGCAGAAACTTAGAAACGTGATTGCAAATACATTGGCAGTGGAAAGAGAGATCAAACGTGTATGTGTACATGCATAAGATTAGAACATTCAGAGAACTGTAATGGGTTTTATCAGCATGCTAGAATTGTACACTGTTTCTGCTTAATTTCCTTTATTATTCTATAGGAAGTAACAGCAATAACAGTAAAATAAGTTTACATAGGCTAACAACCATAATTTTTCCTCAGATTCTTTTCTGGCTTTTTGTCTTTTGCATGATTTAATCTCAGATGCCCCCAGAAGGAAGATTATGGTGCTCTACCAGAAAACCATAGTTGAGGTCAGGCAAATGGTTTTCCTGTGGGGTTCACATGCCAACGTCAGTTACCACTCTGATCATGTCTCTGAAGGAACACTTAAGCTGTTATTTATTTATTTTTGGTACTGGGGATTGAACTCAGGGGCACTTGAACACTGAGTCACATTTCCAGCTCTATTTCATATTTTATTTAGAGACAGGGCCTCACTGAGTTGATTAGTACCTCACTGTTGCTAAGGCTGGCTTTGAATTTGTTATCCTCCTTCCTCAGTCTCTGGAGCAACTGGGATTACAGGTGTAAGCCACCGTGCCCGGCAAGCTGTTATTTATTAACATAGGAATATCTTGCCAGTAGTGGGAACAAATTTACAATCCTCTTTTCATTTTCTCTTGCCAGGGATTCCTCATAATCAGTGTTATGAAACTATAAGCCAGTTGTCCTAAGTTAGATGTAGATTTTCAGACAGCAAAGAGAACAAAAATTACAGAATTTCCTATGTAGGAATTAAATCTATTGGTCTTTAATGTGTTGCTGTGTACCCACCCCACCTCCATCACAACCACCAAAAGAAGGTCAAATGCTTCCTGAAATTATGTGAATTTGCATGATTGTTCAACTTGGCAAGAGCTAGAATTAATTTTAGGCTGAGTAAATGTTAATTTTTATTATGTTGAAGACTCCTAAAATAGTCTTAACCTTGAGATGGACTGATTTGTGAGTATGGCACCCACACTCCTTGCATATGTGTCCCAGGTAGGTGGGTGACTATTATGGCTTTAGGAAGGATATTTCCCCACCAGCCAAGCTGGGGATACTGAGGACACTGAGGACACTGACACAGGTGTATCCATGTTGTTCATGTATATATACAATATATATTCCCATAAATATATATGTGCTTATTATAATCAAGGCAGGAATCCTTTCAAGACAGAAAATCTTGATTTGCCAGGGATTAAAGGTGCAGAAATAATGTTCAATCTATTCTACTGAGAATTAACTTCTGTAAAGTAATAGAGCAAATAAGAATATCTACCTACATGGTTAATCTTAGAGGAGAAATTAATCTGCAGAAGAATGAAGACAGGTTAACCTTGGAAGATTCTTGGAGACTTTGCCAAATTAAACAACTTAAGTTCCTGTACCTATATTCTGTGTGTAATATACATGTTGAATTTCTTTTATGCTATAGTATAACAAGCTCTACTCTTCAAATATTGGGTAAGTGCCATAAACTGAAAGAATTTGTGGGGAACCAGTATAACCAGTGAAGGGAAAGCACATAAATTCCAGGCATTTGTTTGACAATACCAGAAAATTAATATCCACTCCAGAATAATACAAAAATGAAACACCAATCAATTTAAAACTTATACAATGGGAAATTTATTTCTAAAATGGCAAACAACAACAACAAAGGAAATTTAGAGACCAATTTATAAAAAAAAATTTAAAAATCAAAACTCTTATTTCATCATACACACACAAAAAAGCAGTTGTAACATACATAAGGATACAATCACTTTATATTCCCTAAACAGATTGTCATTTTTATTCCCCATGAGCTATGTCAAAAAATGAATAGGTAAGTATATCTTTACATTCTGGAAGGCAAGAGAAATCTTCAAAATTTATATATATATATATATATATATATTTTTTTTTTTTTTTTCATTTAAAATAAGTAAAACATTTAAAATAGCAGCAACACTGGTTTTGAAGTACACATATTACAGTAGATTATTCACATAATATAGATATATTTCGGTAGCTTTTTCATTATTAATATTATCTAATACCCACCTATAATTTATGACTCCAAGTTCTTAGTCTCATCTCTAAGTAACTTAAGAGTCTAGAGTCAATAAATACTTTACAAAGAATAATTATAAAACGCAGGCTGCAGAACATTCCCAGACCAGGAAGAGAAGCATACCCAGAGGTTTTAGGGAAGAATCAGGTTGGAAGGCATACAAGGAATCTGCAGGATCCCCAAGGCAAGAGTGTGAGGCCACAAGCTCCCTGAAACGTTAGGAACCAAGTCCAGAGAAATGTGTCAAAGGGAAAAGAAGGCACTGCCTCCTCATCTTTCCACAGTCCTTTAGAATACAGCCTTAGAGTGATGAGCCACTTGGGACATTTCCCAAAAAACAGGGAATAGGGCAGGACACTGGCCTACGAGGTTGACATTGATTTGTCAGCATTTGTACCTATTTTGATGATCACAGGCATAAAAACCAAGATCTCAACAGGGCCTCATATATTTAATCCTGGATGGTAGGAAAAATATTTCTACCTCTTCGTCCAATCTATGCCACTGGACCAATTTGCTAATCCTATTGTCTTCACCAGAACTCTCAAACATGGTGACAAGGCTTTTCACAGCTCTGGATTTGATGACAGAAGCTGTCCCTGCAATGATGGCCTCCTTTTTTTATATTTCAAAGATTTTTTCAGAAAAGGTAAATGTTCAGATCTCCCAATGAGGTTGGACCTATGGTTTGCTTTACACTATTAGCACTCTCTGATACTTCAAAATTCGTCCCCATTTTCAAACCACTTCAGATACTATTTCAGTTGATTCTCGCAAAGGCCTTGTGAGGAAGCCCGGAGAAATGTCCAAGTGCTCAATGCAAACACCAGGAGGACTGAGGCTCAGGGAGATCAAAGTGACTCCTCTTGTCCAGGGTCTCGCCCACTAACTGACTGGTGCAGGTCCTCTGCAGAATTTAGCTCTCTAAAACGGTAAGAGATTTTTAAGAGTAGGGGCTTGGAAATGGTTGTTTTCTGAAGAATAAAGCAATCTGAAAGTCTCACACACATAAACACACAGTAGAAAAATGCATTAAAGAAAAAATAGAAAGGGAGAGACAAATGATGCCACTTGGCAATTAGTGTTACGAACTTTTTAAGTGCATTTTACATGTAGAATTTGGAAATCTAAAAAAAAAATTTAACACTTCAATTTCCTAAACATTCTTATTTTGGATTCAACTAACAATACATCTTTGTTAGTGGGGCTGACATCAAAACATAAAAATTAAAAAAAAAATTTTACCTGGGTTCACAGTTTTCCAAGAGACAGGTGAAAATGTTACAGCCTGGTCTCAGGACCCTGTTCCAGCACTTACAATTACTATATCTATACAGTAGTTCTGTCAGATGTGGGCTTCACAAAACAGCATTAATAAATATTCCTGCCCTTAGGAAAATTAGCTTTTTTTTTTTTTTTTTTTTTGCTTTGGATCTAAGTTCAGAGGAAAACTGAAATGAACTTAGAGCTTTTATAATTTTTAAATTTCATTATCATTCCACTTTAACAGTTGAAGAAAAAAATTCTAAATGACCATAATAGTTAATTTAGAAAACTGTCATATTCCATGTTAATGTTTTCAAGAAAAATGTAGTGATTTGAGAGTTCCATTAAACAAAATTGTACAAATTCCATTGGAAGCATTCCATTGTAAAGGAGCTTACCTATCAGGATAACCTAGGAAGTGGAAGATGTAGGTTTAAGGTCCTGGTGTGTGACACTTTGAACTGTTAATCAGTTCTTATTTTTTCATCAGCAAATGTGTTTGGAGAAACAGTTGAACTGGAAAGGAAGTCATTCATGACGCCATTGTGTAACATGATACAAAAGTTGAATAACCCTTTTTTTTGGTTCCTCTTCAGGCACCACCTGACCCAGTTCCCCTACCTCCCACCCCACCCTCTTCCCTGGCATTCATACTCTAAAAATGTCAGACCAACAGAGTCCCCTCAGCCCTGAATTAAACGCATGAGGCACCAAAAGGTAAATTATGCTTTGGCAAGCAAGCAATCAGACGATTCTTTGAGTGTCTCTGAGGTAGTGGAATCTCTCCTCCTAATATTCGAATGGTTAAGAAACATTTAGGGATCTGAACTAAGAGACAAACAGATGCTGGTCACTGTGCTTATACACTCTCCTGAAATGGGTGGTTTATGTGATTGTCACATACTCCAGCAGCTTCTTCAGTGGAATCCTTGTTATGGGAGAACATGAAGATACTGAAGTTGCCGTGAGATGAGAGTAGGCCATTGCTTCCTGAGGGCATTGTGCAACTCATTACAACTTGGATTTAATTCCTTAATGTTTTCTAAAAAAATGTACCTGATGCAGAGTTGGGTGCTCAGTAAATATTTGATGACTGTCTGAATGCTTAAGCTCTCTGATTTAGCTCAGTGAGATTACAAGCAAAAACAAACATTAAAAAAAAAATCAACTTCAACTCATGTGATCAAAGTCTAGGTGGCTTTCCTTATAGTGCATGGAACTTTAGGTGACTTTCAAACTCTGATAAGATTAAGTTCCAATGTCGTTGGGCTTGGCATGGTATATCACTCCATATTAACTCCAATAACTCCTCTTATCTTGGTTTTACTATGTTGATATGATTGTGGGCTTTTTATCCATAAATAACTTTTCCGAAGACAAAGTCATCCCTTCCCTCTGTTGTTCTTCAAGCTTTTCTGCCAAGCATTTAATCAAGACAGGGTCCACCTTAGAATCAAACTTATTAGCAAACCAATGTCCATCTTTTATAAGCCACCTTAATTCTGCAGCTCCATAAATACACACACTGCGAAGGTGGGAGCCAGTACAACTGGGATAGAAAAACCCTTCATAATAATTCCACTTAACAAGGCGGGTCTTGCTCTGCAGGTCAGACACATCCTGGGCTGATCTGGAAATCTCTCCAGGTATCCCTGGTAGCCGAATTAAGGTAGCCCAAAAGTGCTCATCAGGAGAATAGGTATCTTTAGACCAGGCAAAAAAGTCTTTAATGAGGGAGTTGTTGAAAATATATTTAACAAATGCTTGACTTAAAACAAAATAGGCACTGCCAACAAATATCTCAATGTTATGAGGGGGTGCTTCCTTGGAGATGTTCGTCCTTATTGGTAGCTTCACATATTCATAAGGCACCTGACGGAGCTCATGGTGATACATGAATCTTCCCATTTTACTGTTAGGGGGTTTCACCGTCTCTAACATATTGGCTCCATTGAGTTTCTTCAACTCTGACACTAATTCGAAATTTGACTTCAGGGGAAAATCTTGCCCACACAAGTTGATGACATATTTCCATTGAACCGAAGACTTGAGAAGGTCTGATAAGCAGTTTAAGTCGGCTTGGAGTCTGGAAATGTGGGCATATTCCACAGCCTCTAATTTGGAAGCAATGAAAATATTGGAGAAGCACTTAGCTAAATTGTTCATGGCTACTTTGAAGGTGTTAGTTGACTTAAGGTCATAATGGATGCAGTAAATATTATGCTGATTATATATAGCATGGATAAGCCTTTCAACCATAATTGCATCTTTGTGGACAACCAAAGAATAAGCTATTGGGAAGCCCTTCTCCTCCTTCGAAACTAGCTTCTGATGGTACCTTCTCAGAGTCTGATAGATGTCACAGTCGCTGGTCAATGCCACAACATCATCATCCTCCAAGTCGATGATGTCTTGCCTTCTTATTTCCAGACTCTTGCCAATTTCCAAAGGCTCCTGTTCATAGATACCTGAACAGTTGACTTCATACCTGATTTCATCCTTAACATGGGTGTATCTATTCCTTACAAAAGGTGAAGTACTTAAGGAGTACTCAACTAAGTAAATGCTTCTTTGAGGGAAGAGGAGTCTTCTCACATTTAGAAGCTTTAATAAGGAGAACAGCCATAGGGTTAAAAACAGGATGAAAACTTTCTGTTGTACGGTGTATTTAAAACAACATTTGAATATCTTCATTCTGTAAGAGGAAAAAGGAACAGTAGATATTAGTTAATATTAAGAATTAAGAGAATTCAGTTTATCCAAGATTTATTGGGTGCTGTTATGGTTTGGATGTGAGGTGTCCCCCAAAAGCTCCCGTGTGAGACAATGCAAGAAGTTTCAGAGAGAAATGATTGGATTATGAGAGCCTTAACCCAATCAGTGGATTAACCCCCTGAAGGAGTTAACTGAGTGATAACTGAAGACAGGTAGGATATAGCTGGAGGATGTGTATCATGGGGGCGTGCCTCTGGGATATATATTTGTGTCTGGCAAGTGGAGTCACTCCTCTCTGCTTTTTGATTATCATGTGAGCATCTTCCTTCCACCACACTCTTCCACCATGATGTTCTGCCTCACTTCAAGCTCCTAGGAATGAAGCCTGCTATCTATGGACTGAGACCTCTGAAACCATGAGCCCCTAAGTAAACCTTTCCTCCTCTACAATTGTTCTGGTCAGGTCTTTCAGTCACAGCAGCGAAAAAGCTGACTTAAACAGGTAGCTACCACATGCCTGGCAGAATGCTGGACCCAAAGATAATAAAACAAGATTCTTGCCCTTAAAAGAATACAGAAATCAGGAAATGGAAACGTGTACAGTGGTGGTATTTTTCTGAAATTCTGTGTGAACTATACCTAATTTGAGAGATGTTGGTTACCAAAGAGATTGGAAGATAAACTCCTTAGCCTTCTGGGGGATTGGTTTCAGGACCTTATGGCTATCAAAATCCTCAAGTGCTCAAGTCCCTGGTAGGAAAAGCCACCACATTTGCATATAACAGATCCATAATCTCCTGTCTACTTTTTCCCCTTAATTTTTTAAAATTATCTCTAGATTGCTTATAACACCTCTCACAATCCCTATGCATCACTCCATTCATGTGAATCAGTCATAGCACTGGGTGGACTACAAATTCAAGTTTTGCTTTATAAAACTTTCTAGAGTTTTCTTTTCCAAATATTTTTGACCCAGGTTTGGTTGAATATGAGGGAACCACAAATATGGAGAGCCAACTGCACTATGTCTTTATATATTCTGCATTTCTGCCTTAGCATATTTGTGGAGGAATTGCTCTTCTTTGGACAGAGGTCTAGAGAACCAGATGTATGAAGAGGTCCTCAGAGATGCAAACAATTCACCTGAGGCCAAAAGGAACATTTATCTTAGTTCAACTTTCAGATCCTGATTAGACCTCCAAAAATAAAGAGGGCATCTCAGGACAGGACTGCCTGCCCGGGAGAGGGAAGGTGGCAGGGAACTCTGGAAAGGGGTTGGGAGGTGCTATCAGGATCCTGTCCCAACCAGCTCTGTCAACTCTGAGCTTTCCCAGGCAGGGGACTACAGTGAATTTCCAAGAGGGGGAGGGTACAGGGACAGCCCAGGCTCCTGGCTTTCTAAACTACTTTCACAAAGGCCTCTCTAAGGGAAAATTTTGTCAGCCTTTGGGTCAGACTTTGAAATTCTTTAAATGAGCTGTCCTCCAATGTTACCCTCCCAAGTCAAAATAAAACCATTTTGTCTGCTTACCATGGCTAGAAAGTTCTTTAAGATAAAAGCATTCCTTCCCCAAGTAAGAAGTAAAAACATGGAGGTACAATGCCCTTTAGAATGAAAGAGTTTCTGTCAAATCTTGAAGTGGTACTTGGCCTCTTCCCAGGTGGTTAACAAGTCATCACGGGTATGAGAGGCACTAACTCACCAATCAAGAGGACCCGCATAGCAGGAGGTAAGAGAAAAAACAAAGGTCCCCAACCTCAGCTTGGCTCTCCCACCCCCAAGGGCTTCTGCTTAACACCCTCTGTCCCTCCCAGTGAGCTCTTCAGGAAAAAGCAGGAAGCAGCATGGCCTCGGGGTCTCCAGTTGCTAGGGTGAAGGTGGGTACGACTGATACCTGCCCATCAGCAGCCCCACCCCCTTTCCGGCCACCTGTCACAGGAACTCCAGAGGCCTCCAGAGTAGAATGGTAGGAGCTCCTGTGGCCTGACCTAGGTCTGACCAGAGTGGGTGGGGCCAAGGCTGACCTCAAGCTGGCCACAGGTTTCCTAGGAGACCAGGTTAGCAGTGCCATCTTCTGCAAACACCTTGGGACTGGCTCTTTTCCTCTTAAGGGCAGGAAGCAGGCAAGTGTTTTGTTGGCAAGGAATACTCTTAGAGTTACATTGCAAATAACTTCCCATGGAGAAGGGATATTTCCCCTCCCACCTATCCAGGCAGACAAGGAAGAGTGACCTGCGGAGTTTCTCACCACATAGGTACAAGTTCCTAGTGACAATGAAATAAGGTTTCTTGGCAAGGTTTAATGACTATAGTTCAGGTGGAAGAAGTTCCATAACAATTCAATAAAAAACACTCCTCACTAAGTTCCCGACAAGAATGTTACATGAAGCATTTTCTCAAACCAGCTTCTCCCCAGCTCTCCCAGGCACTATTGGAGCCTCTAAGGAAGCAGCAGGAAAACAGATCCACCACGGTTAAGTGCACTAAGTATGAGTCACCGCATCCGGGCCAAATGGCTACAGTCATCTGCAGCTTTCCAAAAAACTCTTAAGCTGGCCACTTTAAAGCCCAGGCTGTAAAGGAGTAGGAGGCTTCCTCTCCAAGAGGAGAAGGAATGATAAATCAAGAACTGTGGAAGGAGACTGAGGAGAGAAGTTCTGAGCGTGACTCCGTTTAGGAACCAAGAATTGCACACAGTGACTCAGGCAGGTCAGGACCCTGGGGAGAGAGAGAAGAAGGTAGCTGGGCTTCAGGATGCCCCAGACCTGGGCTTCAGTGCCTGGAGGGGCACTTGGTAGTTAAATCTTTGACTGAACTAGTTAACCTCTCTGAGGGCTCATTTTGCGTCCCACAGTGAGAATTAGACTAATTCCCAGCCACCAGAGGACTGAGGCTCAGTGTTCCCAAGAGGCCCTTCACTTCCCCCAAGCCCAGCTTGCCTGTCTCCAGTCTTGGGGCTTTTCCAATACAGTACACAGGACCCGCTGAACTTATGTTTTAAAGAAAAGAATTCACGAGACAATTTTATGCAATGTTAAAAAATGACTGCCTTTCACTCTTTGGATCAAAGTAAGAGGTGATAAAGGAAGGACAAAGCTGCTCAGAGCTGAGACCTTGCTCAGGTGCCAAACAAAAGAGGAGGCCACACACCATCCCACCATGACACGTCCTGGCCAAGGGGCAAGGGCTTAGCTTGCCCTTGGAAGCCCTGCAATTCAGCTCAGGGACGGCCTACCTAGCACCTGGACCTCAGACATATCCCCTCAGCCTCTGCACATCTGTCCCCACAGGTAAAACAACTGTGTTAAAGGAGGGAATGCCTGCAAAGTGCTCCAGCACAGATCCAGACCATGACTGCCTGGTAAATGCGTCCTCGTCCTCCCGCCAGCTCACTCTCCAGACTGCCCTGCTACTCCTACTCATTGATGGCAAATACATCCTCGCAAATCCTGTCCAGACCCGTGGCTTATCATTTCCCCCAACCCTCACACTTTTTTTTTTCCATATTGGGGATTGAACTCAGGGGACACTCAACCACTGAGCCACATCCCCAGCCCTATTTTTTATTTTATTTAGAAACGGGGTCTCACAGAGTTGTTTAGCACCTTGCTGTTGCTGAGGCTGGCTTTGAACTTGTGATCCTCCTGCCTCAGCCTCCTGAGCCACTGGGATTACAGGCATGTGCCATTGTGCTCAGTGGTACCCTCACACTTTTTTCTTTGCTGTGCTGGGGATGGAACCCAGAGCCTCATGCATGTAAGGCAAGAGCTCTCCCACTGAGCCCAGCCCTAGCCCCAGCCCTGTTGCTATCTGTCAGTCTACCTCCTATTTCCCCCAAAAGTCTCAATATAAATTCAATATTTTAGGAGTAGTACCTGACTACCTCCATCCCAGCTTCCATACTAATTTAATATCATTATGATGTAGAATCACCCAATAAACAGTGCTTACTTGGGGCACTGCCTAATACTTTCTACAATTTCTACAAGAGAAAAAGGTTTGCCTTTTTATAAAAGTAAACACTTTTTATAAAAGTAAACACTTCCATTAAAAAAAAATCAGGAAGTCAGAAAAGTCTGCAGAAGAAAATAAAGCTCAGCAGTGACCCGTTGTCTGGCACCGACACTGTGGAGAACACTATTTCCAGGCTGCTTGTAATAAAAACACCCCTTTCCCCTTTTGGTTTGCTTTTCAATGACAGTCTTCCTATATAGGCACTGCCCTGCTCCTTCTATTTCACACTCTACTGTGAATGAGCCCTACCCTAAACTGGGTCTGTGAATTATTAGAGAGTACGTAATGTCTAAAACAGGCAACATACTTTTCAATGGGGGAAAAAAAACAATAATAGAATTCACTTTTCTAAGTCTTCACCAAAAACTTTAATGAACAAACCCACAATGCCTGGAGAAGTCTAGAAGTAAAATCTAAAAAAAAGGAGTTTTAAGCAAATTCTCCCTTCAAAAGTGCCTACCCTCATTTAACCCCATTTCATTCCTGGGATCTGGGAACATATGGCCCCCTTAAATGTGTGTCTTAGTCTACTCCTACTATTAGAACAAAATACTTAGATTGGGTAATTTATAAATAATAGTAATTTATTTCTCACAGTGCAAGAGGCTGAGAAGTCCAAGATCAAGTTTCAGATCCGTGTCTGATGAAGGCTCACTCTCTGCCTCCAAGATGGCACCTTGTTGCTATGCCCTTACATGGTGGAAGGCAGAAGGGAAAAATGATAGCAGGGTGAACTGCTCCTTCATACCTCTTCTATAAGGTTACTAATTCCATTCATACTGGCTCCACCCTTCATGCTTAATCATCTCCTAAGGGCCCCACTTCTTAATATCATCACATGGGCAATTAAGTTTCAACATATAAATTTTAGATCATAGCAGTATGTCTAACTGCTCTCCACCAAGCAGAAGAAGGAAGGATCCCTAACCCCTCCTATCCAGGCCCCTTATGGTGGCATTCGGTCC